AAATTCCACTATTTCTAATCTCGTGCGTTCGAACGCTTTTGCTCAGCACCGAATTATCCTGGCGATGCTTTCAAGCAACCGTTCAGGCACTCTTCGTTTGTATGCTTTATATACATACAGATGTCTGTGCATGTACATATATGTGTGAGGTGTTTGCCAACGCTGTCTGGCGCGCGTCTGTTTTTGGCAATAATCAAGTTGCACGTTGCTTAGTTCCTCGGCCGCGCCCTCCCCCTCGCCATAGAGCGCCATCTTCACGAGTTTTGTGACAACTTTAATCAGCAATGAAATGCTGAGAGTTTGGTGAACTTTCTCAACGAATTTACCTCAATTCATTACCCAGAGGGTGGACAATATGCCAAAAACAATTTGCCTACATGAAAGGAAATGTAAATTCGCCGATACGGACGATAGAAGTGGGAGCTCAAATTGACAGGTCGCCATGAGGAACGTGCGTGTGTACATACATACATACATATATGTGTAAGCGTGTGTTTATGTAGGCAAGAGAGTTTCTCTTTACAAAAGCTGACCAGATATGTCTACGAATAGAATATTTCGCAAAAGTTCACGAAAGTAGAGATTCGTGCAAATGTAGTCTCGGAGAAGTAAATAAAACTCACGTCAATACTCCAAGTGTTCAAAGGCTCGAACGTCAGCTGTAAAAGTTTTGTAGTTTTCACACAAATTTCGGAATGAAGATATTCAGCAGTGGAGGTCAAACAATCTGATGTGAAAATAGGGTTTTCTGTTACGTTTTGAAAGCAGCAAACAGCGATCTTAGTGAGGTGGCTTCAGAAAGGGCTGTGAATAATTTTGCTTAATTTGGTCTAAATAGGATATACCAAATGACCGCAGGTGATCTTTGCTTCTCACCGATCATACGGCTCTTACAACCTTTAAGCTCTGCCGAATCTTAGCCATCGGCATATGGAATTTTGTCAATGTCCTTATCTTCGTCATACCCCAGTCCTGCATAATGAGGATTTGCGAGGTTTGGCACAGGTTTTGGTAGTAATACTAGTTTCTCGGATTGACTGTTTTGTTTACAATCCTGAGAAAGAAAAATAGATCTGCGAGGTGTCCTCGATTTGTTCTCCATTTGTCCCCGCTCAGTCCCAAATTCCTATGCTTTCTTACTTATCAAATCAGAAAAAAAATTCCTCATTTCATCCAACTACTTACTGAGTTTGAGCCCTGGTTCTGTTTATGCCTCTATTTGTTGGAAGAATCACCAAGACGCACACCACAAATCGAAGGAGGAGCCCACTCGAAAATCGCTTTAGCGGTTACATAGCGCCAATTATGCATATAAATATATATATATGTGTGTATAAAATGCATAGTTTCCTATCAAAGTTGCTTAAAATAAATAAAGAAGATTCAGAAAAGAATATTTTTTCAATATTTATGTAAGGCCAAGGGATTTATTTTTTTCAGAAGCATGCGAATTTTTCGGTAACCTGAGCACATCCAAACATACCTAGAGGTATATGTGTGTGAATGAGCACTAATGAATGATTATGATCCTATATGATGAGACAGAGTTCATGGACCAGTTGGGACAGAGGTTTTTAACCTAATTGATGCCACAACAAACTCTCACACATGCACATATACTTTCGTATATACGAGGTGTGACAATTGAGTAATGTCCTGGATGTCCTCAATCGACTCAAAATGCGTTTCTTACTGGGACACGCTGAGGGCGGTGTGTCTGGACGCACCCTGTTGACATCCTTTCGCATACTCTCGAGTACTCGGCAACAGTAGTAATTCATTGTGGAGGATTCCATGGCTATAAAAAAGGCAATAATCATCGTTTTTCCATTTTCGTGACGAGCACCACGAACAGCCGTTTTCTCAACACGACACAGCGGGCGAACTAAAAAAGCCAGAGCGATGGCAAATATGTCAATGGAGAGGGGGAGGATGCCGGGAGAAGGTTACCATAATCGGGGCAATATAATCAGTCTCGTTGCTTAATTGTCACACCTCGTATACAAACGATTTTCGGCATATTAAGTTGCCGCTAAACGCTTGCTGGATATTCAAAGAATGCCCAAACCACATACTAATGTATATACTCAACCATACATATGTACATCTGTACATAGTTACTTACTTACGTCCGAACGATGCCGTACTTATGTAAATGGCATGTTTAATCGATACAATTATCGATAATTAAGTGCAATGACATATTAAACAATACTTATACACAATTAGCTCGTATTTATGCGAATCTATGTGTATATATGTATGTACTCGTATTAATCAATTACCAATCACTGCTCTCACAGCTACTCATAACCGTATAAATATGTAAGCGGCAAATGACACATTTCGAGTGGGCGTGGGTCTGCTACCCGAGCTGGTGGAATGTCCATCACGGCGAGTTCATTGGCAGATTCGACTGTTTCACACAATTCCATCGGAGAATTGAATGTTCTACGTTTCAGGTTGTATGCATATGTGTGTTCCCTGAATTGGTGATGTTTCTTGAGAAAAATATGTTTTACCATTTTATACGAGCAATTGGGGCAACTTCTTCTCCACATACAGATATTTGTTATCACTAGAGGAGTCTTTCAAAGGATTGTTGTATATTTATAAGGAGATTTTTCTATATACACACGTACATACGTGTATGTATAATATATTGAGCACATCAAATTTTGTGACGAGCAATTCAAGGGATCTACCATTTTTGGGTATTTTTTAAAACTTCGGATGGAGCGATGGTCTTTGTTTACTATGCTCTCACATCCATAGGGGTAACTCTTGTTTTCTATATATTTGACCTTTTTGAACATGATTTAGTTCTGAAAAGGCTTTAATTACTTTTCTGGCATTTTTGCATGAAGAGAAAAATGTTTGCAATAACATTTTAATAATATTTAATTCAGATTAAATGTTTCTGAAAGAAGATGCCTCTGTAATGCATATAAAAAAAAATATATATATATATAAGTATGTACATAAACAAATTTAAAATAATTTTTAAATGTATGTACATATGTATGTGCATTCATACCTATTTATGTGCATCTCCATATGTACACATATTAGCTGAGAAAAATCAATACAGAACACCTAAACGCTCAGCAGCATCCGGCGTCTTTAATTAATTCAGCATCTCTGCTCTCCCGTCTAGCTCTGATAAGGGCCAACGCAACAACAATGGCAACGGCACACAAATAAATGCAAAAACAATTGGCAATTGCAGATTTTGCATTTTATGGCAGCATACATACAAACGCACATACATACTTATCCACGTAAGCATATATGAAAAACGACTCAATTACTCTAAAGTCTGCAACTTTATGCATAAGCCACACCCATTCTCATAAATACGAAGCCAGCAAGCACATATGCATATAACACACACCAGTGCAAATATTTAAATGTATGTATGTACATACACGTATATGCATATGTATGTAAAAATGGGGAGCATAGTACATTGTATGCATGCAATTGGGGATTCACGCAACTGCCATAACGTTGCGCCTGCAACTCTGCCTCCCAACCCAATCCGTCCCAACGCCGACTGCTGCAAGCCATCATGAATCGCATGAACAACGGCATTGAACGACTACGACAACGACAACGACAACGACAATGGCAACGGCCACGACGACGATATGAGCATCACCTAACAAAGAGGCTCCGCCGCCGCATACTCCTTATGCTAATCACCATGGGTCGGCAAGGCAGCACGGCTGTGTTGAGGCGTTGCAAACGACGTGCCGAGCGAAAGAGAGGCAACGAATGGAGCTTACTGCAGAGTAGCGGTGAATGCATTAATAGCAGTATTTTAATGCATTTATGGTATACGATTAGTACAATATAGGAGCAATGATGTTGTATAATTTTTTAATGTAATTTAAAATTATTTGTTTACTTTTTATTGAATGCGTTAAAAAAATAAATTGAATTAATTAATTTCAAATAAATTAATCAGCAATAAAATGTTAATAAATACGATTTGATAGTTTGAGCTACGTAATCAGTAGTACTTATAAATTTTATTGCAATCGAAAGGCAAAATTATAAGTCGTCTCTGTCGGGCATTCATGCATTAGAACCTTGATTTGCATTAAAATCGAAGAATTAATGCACTATTCTCCCATTACAATCGAAATGTTCACGAATTAATACATAATGAGCCTTAACGCTGCTGTGAATCGAACTCACATCTCAACTCATGCCACGAAAATGCTTTTCCAACAACGAGAAGAGAGCTTAAGGGGAGCACGAACTAGAGTTCCAATTAGAATGCAACCGTGATGCAGGGCAGCAGCAGCTACTTGAAATACAATCCACAAAAAACGGCGTACGTATGGAGAGGAGAGAGTGAGTGTGTGAGTGAAAATTGAGGAGAAATGTGCGCTGAGTACAGCTACTCATAAGACCACTCACAATTCGAGTCGAACGCTCACATGTGGCCAGAGTAAGGACGAATAGTGAGCCAAAAGAGCAGAACATTCCGTATAACTAAGTGTGTGTGTGTGCGTGTGTGTGGCATCCTGGCGACATACACGCACGCACATACATATTTATGCATATTTCGTATGGTAAATGCACCAACACAACTGCATTTGCCACACTAATGCATGAAAACGGAAAACAGAGTTGCAAATGCGACGATTGCACTCGCCCCAGAATGAAACGTAAATGAGTGTTGTGGTGAGCTCGCATTCCGTGCTCTGCTGTGCGTTGTATGCTGTGTGCGGCGGCAGCGGCTTTTAGATTTTCATTATTTACATTTACCAAATTGGAAATCGTATGTGCAATCGACTCGAACGAGACGCTTTGTTGTTGTCTGTCGTTATGTGTGTGTCTTCAAGAAGTTGACTTGCTAAGGTAGCTGTGTGTCAGTATGTAAAGTCTGTGTGTGTGTCTGTTTGTATGCAATGAGAACGTGAGCGAGTGTTGCACGGTTGCATGGTGCGGTGCGGTGGCCAACTACCAACTGGGCTACGGTTCAGTTGCATTTCTAATGCGCACACAGCAAGTTTCATCGCCGAGAAGAGAGTCCCAGTCCGCTCGGCCTCATTGCGCGTTTGATTAGAAAACGATTGGCAAAAATTGCATGCTCGTCCTCAGCGACGGGCGACGACAATAAAACGCGAGTTGCGCGATTATTCAATTTAGAAAACGAAAATTAGCAAATCAAATATATTTACTTACATACATATATACACACTAATTTAAATAAGTAATAAAATTTAAATAGAAATTAATTTTTGCAAAATATGCTCGTAAAATAAATGCAGTGAATTAAATTAAAACCAGAAACCAGAAACCAAAAGCAGCAAAATAATTCGCTTTGAGTGCCAAATGACCCAAGTGATTTCCACGGTGGTTTTGTGAAAAAAAAAAAAAACAAATTAGAAAATTTATGATATAGTGCTTTTCGCACGCACACACCTCCTACATACATATAGTTTACTTCAAACATGATGGTAATACAACAACAAGCCCTGTGGAGTAGTGCAACAAAGACGCAAACAGCGGCCGCGACTTCGCCTACCTCCGCCAATGAGAAGCAATCAAATAGTGAATTACAATTACAACAACGTCTGGTGGACAATGACAGTCCGGAATTATGTGCGAACGAAAGGATTTTTATTAAAACGGAACCCACCGAGTTCACACCGTTGCGAGGCGTTCAAGTGGAAGACGAAAACGAAGATGCAGACGAAGACGAAGATGAAGATGAGCAGGAAGCGTTAACAGATCGGCATAAGCAAAGTATGTAACAACAACAAAGTAAAAAATAGTTATATATCTATATGAATTTGTCGATTTTCGAACTGATTCTGCTTCAATTTGATTCTTTGAGACGAAAAATGTTAAAAAAAGAAATAAATTCAGTTTGAGCTAAATAAAAAATGGGCTTAAAAGTGAAAAAAGTTTCCTGTATGTATGCAGAAGAATAGTTTTTTTTTATATCAAACCACTTAATTCTATTATTTTTTGTACACACAGATATATGTACATAATATGCATTATGTGTAAAATTTATAGTTTGATGATGCGTATGCGATACTTCCAAAAATAAGTGTAAATTCAAACATTTGTTTTAATCTCGCAATTAAAACGATTTTTTTATTAACTGTTCTTTTTTTGAGATTTAAATAGAACTTATAACTTTAAAAAAAAAACATTTTATTCACTTCAAAAATATTTTGTTAATTTTAATTGGTATTAAAGAAATGCGAGAGTAAATTTAATCGTTAATTAATCCATAGAATTCCACCGACTATTTCCAGGCTTGTGTTCAACTCTGTAGTATTGGCCAGTCAAAAAACGCACGCCAAAACACGAATATACTTTATCAGAGCAAAAAAGGCAATGGAGCCAAATAGATTTGAGGAAAAATTTAAAGGTTTGCGCTTAGAATCAACCAAAAATTTTTTCCTCAAAAAATAATAAATGTAAAAAATATTAACTCAGCTAAGACTGAGGTCTCTCCATTTGTTGGAACAACATCAAGACGCAGAACCACAAATTGGAGGAGGAGCTCTGCCGAAAAATCGCTTCATCGGTTACAAAGCACCAATTATACAATATAAAAAGCAATAATTCTGCGTAGGAATTTCCTGCATTTTTATAAATCTCAAAGTTGCATACCCAGTTTTTCAGCCAATCTATTGGTCGCATTATTGTGGAAACATTTAATTTAAGCATAAATCGCTGAGGAAATGGCACTCACCTGAGCAGTCGATCCTATTATGCCTATTATGCTCACTTGCACCGTTAAACACGCATAATCTGCATCATTTGCGTCTCATAGTTCAATAGATACAATACAAATGTATATGTATTGTTTATGTATGTAGATTTATATGTGAATTTAGGGCATTGCACACAAAGGCCTTTAGTAAAATGAAAGAATTTTCTGCACGAAATCTATGCACGATGCATTGTCCTTGCCACTAAGGACATGCATAAGTACACCGCAGCGTTTAGGTGCCTCCTATCCGCATAAAAGACAAAAAAAAATGCAAAGATCATCATTATGAGGTTCTGCCTCTAAATCCGCTGGTATGTTTGTATGTGTGTGTGCATCTGTGTTTGCACGAAGCAAAATTGTAATAAAAATGCATACAAAAAGGCCAAAAAGACAACCCACCGAGCGTCTAATCATAAATTACTACAAACGTACGAGTACAAACATACATGCATATTTACATACATATGTGTATGCATAAGTGTTTGTCCGCATGCAGATGTCGCTGCAAGATATTCAAATAATGCACACTAATGCTTTTGATCTTCGAGAAATGATTACAAAATTGCAAACGGTCTACCTGTTTCGCAGAGCTGGAAAAAAGGGAAAAATTGGTAAATATATATGTATAACTGCATGTGAATATGCATGTAACGTAATGTCTGTATGTGTGCACACTTCACCTCTGGGTATTTTGCATGCCAGGCTGTCCATGAAATTTGTGAGAAAACCGTCTGCAGCCGCACAGTTTCTCACATTTTTGAAAATAAATTTTCTTTTTTCATTTATCCTTTTCTTTTGCACCGAATTCTCTATTTCTTTACTCCGTTGCACTTTTTTATGGTTGAGCCCAGGTGAGGGACCCAGTCTAGCTGATTTTGCATTTTACTGCAGACAAACAATTAAATTTCTTATTGTTACGCATACATACATATTTACACACATACACACATACATATATGTACGTTTGAAAATATATATATATTTATAAATGTCTATACGTGCTTAGTGTGTTCTGAAAGTGGTCAGCTCGGCAGGATTATCGGCAGCGTCCAAGAATGCAAACAATGCAGATTTCGGTAATTGCCGTTAAGTAGTGGGCAAAATTTTACTCATACTATGCAAAAAGTAAAATAGAAAAGAAATTGCAGTAAGGTGCACGAAATTGTCCGTAAGTATGTATACGTGCAGATTAGTTGACTTTTTAAGTCCAAAGTCAAGAATTCACACTTTTTGCGGCGGAAGGGATTGTTGTAAAAATATTAAAATCATGCATTCCAGTGCGGCAACAACAACCCTACATGATATGGTGTCTTCTCTAATGCCCCAAGGATCGGCAGCGCCTAATCCGCAAGCAAATAACTACTTATTTAAATGTCTTTGGTTGTATGTATGTAAATATTGCTGTTTGTTTCTCACGTTTCTTGGAATCTATGTTTGAATATTGGATGTGTGTGTAATCCATATGTACATATATACATATGTTTGCACCTAAGGACAGTGTAACGTCTCCACAATGATGATTCACTTCAAAATCAGTTTTCCATAAAGTTTTCTAAGGCAAAAAAAAATTATAATTTATTAAACATTTCTTGAGAAAAATAAAATTTTAAACCACTGACTTTTTCTTTACAAATTGTTTTGAAATCTCAAAATTTAGAATTTATATAAATTTCAATAAATTTATGTGATGTGCATGTTGTTGATAAGAAAACGATTCTAAAAAATGTGCATGCTTTCACTACCTTTTTCTATTTAAATTTTATAAAAATATTCTCCTTTTATTTACACTCAATACAAAAGTCCAATGATGAAATAAAATAGAAATAAAATTTTAGATCCAAAAGAATTCTTGAAAAATTTGCAAAATCATTGCTACAGTGGGACTACTGTATGTGCATATGTATGTGCATATGTATGTTTGTATGTTTCTATATATGAATATGCATTTATGTACATATGTATGTATGTATATGGGCAAATGAAATTCGTACATTTCGTTGTCGGCACGTTTATCCTTTATATCACTTGTAATCTGTATATGAATGTGTAGCAGCAACAACAACCACAAACAAACCCAGCTGTCCCTTGATAATAGATAAACCAATGAAAATGCCAAATGAAATATGTAAAAAACAGCAGATTGTTTTCACTTTTTATTTATTCTTCTTCTGCCTCCACTTTTTTATGCCTTCACTTATGCATAACTACTGGCGTTTTTTTTTATTATTTTTATTTTTTTTGACATTATTCTTTGCTATTCTCTTATTTTTTATTCCTTCAAGCAGTAATCTGTATATTTATATTTATATTTATATTTATATTTGCGAAATGGACATTGGACATTATCCCCGTATGCATATATTGTCGTAAAAATATAGGTACCACCGGTCCACTAGCAGACTATGGTCCATTGCCGACGCTTTGGCTTGGCTTTGTTGTCCTCTTTTTTGTTTACACCCAGGGGAGCTATAAATTTAATATCCACTCTTTTGCTAAATAATAGAGAAAATTCAACAAGAAATTTGCTTTTCTCTTTTTTAACACGCTCAAGTGCAAAAGAATAAGAGGAGGAAGCGGAGGAAGATACATGCCTTAGCGGATAACTGCAGCTTATGTGCTGCGCACTTGTGTCCAGCTCACACTTACACCCACACACACTCGCTCCGGCACTCACTCTCATTCAAATATACTTAACTTTCTTACTTCACTGTTATTTTGCAAACACATTCAAACATATGTATGTACGTAATGTGAACTCAAATAAGGTTATTTATGACAGTAATGCATAAAGGATCCGAATATTCCTTGAGATATACTCACTCTGCCTCTGCAAGCAAGTATACAACAAGTACTCGTATATGGACACAGAGCAGCAAGTTCGCTTAGATGGACACACAAATACACTGGCGATGAGATCGTATTAAAGTTTGGGCATACATATGTGTATGTGTATGTGTATGCGTGTAGGTGTCGATATACTTGCCGTGATGGTGGCTGGGGAGGTAATCTACATAGCGAAAGGAAATGGCGATTTAACTAAATGCGGTGCTGATGAAATTGTAAGCACGTCGCACAGTGGCACATACATGCATACATACATACATACGTACTTATAGACATGCATAAATAGCAAGTTTTTTCTGTTCCATGTTTGTAGATTATATTTTCATATATTTATACATATGTACGTACATATATCTGAGCTATAATTAGGAATATTCATGTGATAGGAATCATTTCTCAGCACAGGATTGTGGCTACTTCTTCTTCTCCGAGACCAAATTCATACCCTTACATTCCGCCTTAAAGGAACTTCTCGTCCGAACATTGGTTCAGCGGTTCTAAGGCGTCAGCTGTAAATTTATAAGTCCCTTTTTTCGGATAAATCTATTGCTTAGCTAATAGCAAAGATTTTACATTTTTTGAGAGTTAAATTAAAAACCCTCAAAGCGTGAAAATTCGAAAATTTTGCAGTCCTAAATTATTTCCTAAAGCCCAAATTTTCAAAATACTCCAGAATATTACAAAAATCTGATAAAATATATTTCCTAAGGACGATTCATCCTTTTTCGCAAATAAATTAAATTTCCTTTTAATTTTATTAAGTAAACTACGAGGCCTTGTTGTTTGTATGAATTGAATATTTGTTATACAACAAAGAAAAACGGTAGAAGTGACAGCTGTTTCGGAGATCACCGCATCTCCTCATCAGACATGGACTGATTTTTCCAATATCCTCATTCTAGTTTGGCATTATTTTTTTGGAAAAATTTTCTAAAACGAATTTCAATATCCTTTAAGGCAAAAGTTTTTACAATACAAAGAATAGCTCAGAACCATTAAGGACTATTTGATTAAATACTCTTGGTGCAAGGCATGCCCGCCTCGCTGGGCTGTTGCTGCCGAAGGAAACGTTTCTTGGGGAAATCTAAATTAAAGTTGACATTTAGAAATGATTGAAAACTTAATTCGCACCGACGTAGATTGAAGTAGCCCGGCTTTTAAGCCGCAGTCGGTTCGTCGGTATATCCAATTAAGTAAACTCCGATTCATTCGTCTGAATTAAATATCCAATAATTTTTTTTTTACTTTTTATTTTACTCATTTTTTTTTTGTTTTGTTTTTATGTACGAAATTTCAGCAGTAAGTTTTTTATAATGATATTGGTTTCTCCGAGGCATCCCGGTGGCCTATATTGACTTCAGGTTAAAATTGGAGTATCGGCTAATTAAGAATTAGCATGTCCTTGAAGGGAAGCGCTCAAACAACAGTAGGAGGATAAACGACATGCCGTCGGCAGAATGAATGTGCTTACGATGATGAGTAACAAACACTGCTATATATATATATATATATGTACACATCTTGTCTAGCTTTTGATGATCTTTTTTTATACTCGCCGTTTATAGTGGACAGTGTTCGCGGTGCATCCTTGCGCTCACGACACTCATACACACATTCATACATTCATACATTCTATCCTTATCTCCTTACCTCGGACACACTTTTATTTGTATTTGCATTCAATTTGCTCTATTCCAAATGTCAGAGAGTTTGTTTGTTGGTGGCTGCGAATGCATTACGTCTGTTTGTATATACTTATGTCTTTCCCATGCCCTCACAAGTGCACACGTACACACTTGCATACACGTACATACGAGTACATGCGAGGATATCTATGCATATGAAAAAGCAGTTATCTCTGTATCTGCATGACGAATTCACCCCATAAAAGTAACGAAATACTAATGGACATTTTATGCCCACTCGGAAAAAAAAAAAACGAAAATCGAAAACAATAATAAGAAATAAAAACAAGAAAATGCAGCACGAAAAAGCGAAAATAATCTCTTAGCTGGCTGGAGAGTTCTGCGGAGATACTCTTTGCCTCCCACACCACACAAGCAGCTGATGCAAGATTCAAATTGACAAGTTAAGAAGACGTGCCATTTGCATTAAGCTCCCAATGGGCGAAATTGTCGTAAACTCGATGAAACAACGTTGGCAGCCAACAACAACAAGCCAACCCAAAGATGGCAAGCTTCCAAGAGGTCATCAACATGAATGAAGTACACACGAAAATAGCAACAACAACAGCCCCACCATTAACAGCAACCACCACCACCACCAGCAGCGCCGGCAGCAACATCGGTCACTACCACCAAGAACAACAAGAAACAACATAATCAGACAAACTACACCCCCACAAACAGATTTTCTTTCCATCTCAATCCTCGCACTTCTTCCGCACATTTGCCAAGACACATCTGCAGACGTTGGCGGCGTAGGCAGCATTTATTTATTTAGGACGTTTCACGGTGCTCGGACGTTGGTGGACGAGGCGACGAGGCGACGAGTGGACAGTGGTCGACGGATGGTCAACGGTGGTCGCTGGCGTTTCGCAGGCTCACATGATGCACTCTCCCCTACTCTTCACTACACTGCTCTCATTTGAGGTGGGGTGGGGTGCTCTTTAATGGCGGGGTTATAATAAGGATAATCAATAATTTGCGAGGAATATTTGAATTCGGACGCTTAGACTTTGTTGTGCTAGTTAACCTTTGGTCCGCTTCCCCTCTTATGCAAAGCAAACAAGTTATTAAATGAATATATATTTGTATATATGATATGTACATTATATACGAAAAACATACATACGCACATGTGTAGATATATTTTCATTATTTTTCGATTTTTTTTACAGATGCATTCGCTGGACACTTGCGAGATTCACCGTCACCTTTACGGACTGCAGCTGGTAAGTACATAATCAAGTTGGCCACAAATGTATGTAGGTATGTCTGTATGTATAAGATTATACACGTGCTCGCCGTGCATTTGCCACATACTAATCCTTCGCCTCAATTCTTTCCGCATGCATCTTGTTTTTATCAATCCTCCTTTCGCTAATTTCCTCACAAACACACACACACACACACATACACACCCATTGCTCGACTGAATATCTACAACATTATGGCAAGGCTTCTTTGCTTCTTCTTCTTCATCTCTCATTAAGGATGTGCGACAAAATGCGGCGGCGATCCCTTTGGTTCATAGACACACGAGTATTTGTATTGTATATATGTATGTACATACACAACTAGAGTCATAACTAGTGACACGTACGCGTCGCACGTGAATACCACAAAAGCTGGAAAGAGGAAAGAATTTATTATCGATTTGAAGTGAGAAGTTTATTAGTTAGAGTTCGCTTGGCACACAACACCAATTGCAGGATCGGCGAGGAGTTTTGGATTGTGGCGGCGGTGGAGGGAGGAAATTCGTTGCGCGTGTGTCGATGTTGTTATTCTGGAATTTGTTATGTTTTCTTTTTCTCTTGTTGGGTTTTAGAAAAAGGCTGCAAGGACTCGTGTCAATATCCTTATTGCATTAGAGCTCTCCGTTCTCCCTCGCTTCAATGCGATTCTATGTGTGTGCGTGTGTTTGTTTATGATTGTAAGTTTAAAATGGTGCATGCTCCGCAGACCTCAGGCCAGGCACGAGCGAAGAGCGAGCGAATTTTTGAGCTCATTAAATTGGCGAATCAAAGAGAATTCGCTATGAAAGAATTATCAAATAAATAAGGGAGAGTTGAAATATGAATATGAATGGGATATAACAAAGAAGTTTTGTTACCAATAAAAATATTATTTAACCATGGGTTATTGCTCATTAATACACCAATACATGAACCAATGGCTCTTGCAACGCAAAAAATCTCTTTAAATCGATTCGGTCGATTTCTTCAAAAGACTGGCAGCCAAGTTAGACCAATCGGTAGTAATAGCAGCCTAAGCCCTTCTTCCATATATGCACCTCACGTTCTCTATGGGACTTAAGTTCGGAGAAGAGGCCGGCCAATCCATGATTTCTATTGTAGGAAACAATGAGTCAAAGCTCGTCTCATTTTATTCCTCATATGAATGCGGGCATTAACCCTTGGAAAATTCGTGTCACCTCACTGTAAGCTTCTTCGAATGGAAGAACGCTAATGTGAACAGTAATGCGAGCTTAGCTTTTTATGTAAAAATATCACACACCACTACTGAACCTCCTCTGAAATTGGGTTTAGAAATGCAAAATCTCTCGAATAAAAACTATAGAGTCAAGCAGATGAACTTTAAGAAACTGCCCAGTTAGCGCATGTCCTGATGTAGTTGGAGCCGATCTCGGGCAGAAAGCGCAAATTTTCCGTTAACTGGCTTAAAAAACAATATGACTCCTTGGGCTCTTTGTAGAATTCCGCAGCTTGAGATATTCCAGATCTAGATTTAAAAATTGTTTAGAAATCGCTATACACTTGAATAAAAATCACGATTATCCCAATAAAAAGTGTAGCAGGCGAGTACAATGCCAGAAATAGATAACGGTACAACGATTTCATAACAGAACGCAAGCTTTGAAAAAAGCAGAGAAAAACAACAGTGGACACGAGTATGATGGCAAAATGGGCTACGCAGATAGTAGACTGTATTATAAAAGTGTCTTATGATTCGCAAACTAACATTATATACATACATATGTGCATATGTAGTTGGCGCGAATGGTGTGTTTCACAGGTATTTTTGAGGAGGGCGAAAGGTTATTATGAGAAGTTCTTTACTTCAGGTCAGAAATACCCTCAGAGGCTATTTTGATCTGGACAAAAGTCGAACTCATAATCGCTTCTATGGTAGCACACACTGCTAACTCTTCGGCTACTGCAGTCACGAAAAGTTTTGTCAAAATTATCTCAAAATTTTCAAACTTAACTCAAGGCGAATTTTTCGATAACAAAGTTATAAGTAAATAAAAATGATCTGTAATCGAAAATACTGAATTTCTGCTGAAAAGAGTTATTTGGGTACATACGAGGAGTATGTATGTATGTATGTATATAAATATTTATTTGAATAAAGTAACGGCTTTGCAATCACAACTCAATTAACAACAAATATGCATCTGCATCACAGTCGCAGGTGCCACTTCGATTGTTGTCTGTCTATATCAACTACTGCCGATCGACAACAACTTGCACTTAAAACACACACATAATCCCACACACACACACACACACACACAGGCATGCAGAACACCTCCAATTGACTTGTTTACACCACACATTTTGTTTGCCTTTGAAAAATCAAAACCATTATGAAGTGTCGAATATTTTTCAAAATACTCGTATATGTTTGTAAGCACAACAACAACAACAAGAACAATGCAGCCACTTTGCCACGCGCCAACAGCCGTAAAGCCTCAATTAATTTCACGCAACTCTCAATATACCGTTGCTTTTTGTTTATCAATCAAAACGAGAGCGAAAAAAGAGGTAAGCTAAAGGTAAATACCGTCATTACAACACCCTTTAATTTACTCATAAAGCGCACACGGCAACAACAACAAATGCGCATTAACATATTCACACTATAATTTGAATAATATGATAGGCAAATAAACGCACCTTCAATATGAGTATGTACATATGTATGTGTGTTTGTATGTGCATGGAAAAAACAGTATGAATAAAGTGTATTGAAGCGCGCGCTCGTGTAAAAAACGCTGAAAGGGTAGGGTGCATTAATGAGATTCAATTTGGGCTCTGCCGCCGACCGACACTGATCTGAGGTTGAAGTGGATTGGTGTGAAGTGCTGTGCAGTGTAGGGTAGCACCTTTGCATTTCTACAACTTTTTCGTGTATGCGTGTGTATGTGTGTGTAACAAATGCGCAACAGTTGAGGAAGCCGCCACAGCCGACGACCCTCGACGCTTAGCGTTGCTTCAAAGGTGTTTTGCATAAATGGCAAAGGGTTGCATCACTTCCTTTCCGCTCCCTCTCCCTCTCTCAGCTCTAACAGTTCACACTTTTTATTGGACTCGGTGATTTCACCAATGATTTGCTCATATGCATATCCGTTTTTTGATTGCCCGTGGCTTTGTGTGCGCCAAATCGTGAAGTGAACAAATGACAATCCTTCCGTACCCTTTCTCGTTTTTGTGTTTGTTGTTGTTTATTGTTGTTTATTTTGCTTAAATGCCTTTTGATTTGCATGTGATATGGGTGTGCCAGCTCCAGTGTTGTTAACAAGGCTAGTTTTCAGCCAGGAGCGCTTGAGCGCCCCGCAATAGGCAACAATGCCGGTAAGGTAGCACGCTTTGTATGTATATATGTGTATATGTGTATATGTGTATATGTGTATTGTGTATATATGTATGCCATTGTTATGCAAACCGAAAAGGTGGTACGGAAATTATTAAAATGCCGTTTAATTTTAATTGCCAACGCGCTGTTACTAATTTTAATGGTTTGTGTGTGCGCGCGCGCGTGTGTGTGTGTGTGTGCCTGTGCGCTAAGTGCCCTCGTCATTTGTTTACGAGTATGTACATTCTAAAGGTCAGATGTCGGTAAATTTACATAACCTTAAAGCCTACAACAAAATATTGCGTAATCATTGAAATATTTGGTAATTTGTACTTCACACATGTATGTGTGTGTGTGTGTATGTGTGTATGTGTGTAATTTAAAGAATGGAGAAAGAATGGTTGGATCACAGTGTTTTAGGGGTTATTTTTAAGTGCACAAATATGATATGCATGCCTATACAAATGTATGAGTGCATGTGTGTATGTATGTATGTATGTATGTATGTATGTATGATTGCAGTATGTTCGAATGTGTATATTTAAGGGAAAATCACTTTCTTTTGTGCGAAATTCGAAATTCTGCCAGTTGTTAAATTATATGCATTTTACATGCACAGATATCGAGATCATAGAGACGTAACCCAGTGGAAATTTACCGAAGGTTGGCTGTTGTACCTCACATTTGTTTCCCATAGGACCAAAGCGGGTTTTATAACAGTGGATTTTATGAGTAGCTTCTTTTGAGTAGTTAACTTTAAATAATGATTCTCGAGCCAATACAAATTTCTGAAATTTAGTAAATTCATTAGGACCTCTATGGAGTTTTAGAAAAGCTGGTATCACCATTGAAAGTTCTGACCGTGGCTCCTTCCACTACAGACAAGTCATACATGTGAACAAGAAATAGCCTGTGGCGCTTCTTTGGGTTACGCCTCATAAACTTTCATAGCGTTCAGTCTGTGCTACTTCATGCTTGTCATAGGATAAAACTGAAGAAATACCCGGTATTTCTTTTCTCAGGTAAACTTTAATGTTCTAACTCGAGTATCGAGGCGGTTTAACCCTTTGCTATAAAAGTCATGTGAAGCAAATTATGAATTGAACGAACCTTTTCGTTGATTGTGTCACAATTTGAATTTTCATTCAAACACCTGCGATCTCTCAGACTCACTTAAAAACAACAAAAACACTATTCCACAATTACTCAATTTCAGCTGAGCAGTTTAAAATCTCGACGCTTGACAAACGCTTCCCAATCATGACTCAGCATATTCCGTGCGTTATACGGGTGTCGCCTCTCGTATCGGTTGGGCAGGTGGAGGGTATTTGTTGGGCTTATTATTCTTATTGATTATTATATTATTATTAAATAGGAAGACTCTTTTCAATCTCTTAAGGCAGGCCGCCTAGCCCAATACAGGAAAACCCACTGTGGTATATTTGTTTCCCTCAAATTTGAAATATATTTTATTTATATTATTCGCGGCTTACGCTGGCATTGGCCTTTGGAGAGAGTAATCAGAAATCAACACTGCCCTCTCTTTTAAGCTCACTGCTTAAAATGTATCCCTTTAATCGTTCCATGGCTTTAGGGTATCTGGTTTTCTGATATCTTTTATTGTCATTCTCTT